GGAATAGGAGTAACTTACCGAGCAGTAGGTCACCTTGTTACCACGTGAAACTACCAACTATGTGGGCAGTGCTGGTGATTAAGGCAGCGTATCTATGTAAAAGTGGGTCATGCTAACAGAAGGAGTTGGCAGCTCACTGTTCTTTAGCTTTGAGCCTCTACAACATTCTAAAGGTTTACGTACGGTTAACTCAGGATGAAGAGACTCATTGTATACTTCCTGTGCAAAATGATATTCAAAGTTTGTATTACGCTCATAGCAATGGAGCATTCATAGTTTCGATAAAAATTCTAGCTGTCAGAACATCACCATGGAGAAAAAGGAGTTGATATATATAGTAATCGTTTGAAGGCTGATTTAAAATGTATCTTTGCAGAAGACTGTACTCCAGGCTGGTCTGATTGGTACGATGAGCAATATCCTGATAAAGAAAATGGCGGAGATGAGGAATCTTACCAGAAGGTCATAGCCTCAGGGAAAGTGGTTTGTCTGCCTGACTCACCAGTGCAAAACATTGAATGCAAAGCAGAGAGATTCCCCAATACCCCATGGCAGGAATTGGGCCAGACAATAACTTGTGACAAGAATAAAGGACTGAAATGTGTAAATGAGGATCAAGGAGGACTGCCATGTTACAACTACAAGGTCAGATTCTGCTGCTCCAGAGCAGGTGGACCTCCTGCACCAAGTCCATCTTCACGAAGCCCAGGTACATTGGTAATATTAGTTGCAAAGCACATGGTTAATATATTGATATCATCATATCCATGATGTTTTCTGGGTTAGATCGCATAAATATAAATTAGTTTTTAACTCCGCTACCACCCGACACAGCCAATTAGTAAGGTTTGCGCTCCTCTTCCAGATCCAACTGCATCGAAGGACAAGACACCCGCACCTCCAACCTCCAGCAACAAGGGGCCAGAACCATCACCCCCAGAAGGGCCAGGTGTGTTCCTTTTGTAAGATTATATATATACAGGACGTATACTGCTTAGGATCAAATCAAACAACGTGACTTAATTTGTTAGATCTCATGAACTAATTAAGACTTGCTCCTGGATAGTTTTTGGATAGGTAACAATCTGTGTAACAGATGTCATCGACTGAATATTTACAATATGGACTGCACAGAGCAGAATGCCACACCTCTTTATTATGCTGTACTTCCATGCTCCCCATTCCTCGGTCAATAACTCGCACTGAAGAGGATGATGAAGCATCGTCAAATAACCCCCCCAGCCAGACACCGTGGGTAGGCTTTAATTGAACAGTGTATTGGCAAAGATCTCTACATTATTTAGTATCACTTTCCAGTAACTTATTCGTAATGCAGATTTTAAGTATCGTCTGAAGGTTGCTTACAACATTTTACAAGGTTCAACTGAAAATGCATGAGTAATCTGAATTCTGTCAACATCCATCCCTTGCTTTTCTTTCAAAGTGACACCCAAACCCCCGGTAGAGGAAAAGCCAACAAAGCCAGCTCGAGAAGAGAGTGGCGCTCCTGCTGCAGAACCAACTGGATCGAAGGACAAGACACCCCCACCTCCAACCTCCAGCATCAAGGAGCCAGAACCATCACCCCCAACTCCAGGCCCAGGTACCATGGTGGAATTAGTTGCAAGATCAAATGTGGATAACATATTACATACAATCTTATTTTCAGTCAAAGCAACCAAATGTTCTGGTTGTGCCGGGACATTCCCGGTTTCAAAAAGGCTATGCTAGTGTCCTGAAGCATTCTAAATTTGGGCTTTTGTCCTACTTTACAGTGTTCTGGTCCCAAACTTGGCTCATTTACTGGAACAGGTTATGACTCACAGACTCTAGGCTGGGTTGGTAGCAGAATAGGAGGAACTCACGGATTAGTAGGTCAGCCTGTGTCAGAGTAATCGAGCGACCGTATCTTCGCAAAAAGTAGGTGGTGCTAACAGAAGGGGTATGGAAGCTCACCAGCCTTTCGGGTTGACACTCAATGAAAATTCGGCAGCTCTATGTACTGTCCATTCATGATGAAGAGACTCACTATACTTACTGCATGTAAATACATATTTCGCTGTACACTCCTACCAACGGCACATTCGTAGGTATGATGCATTTGATATCTGTCAGAACATTACCTTATAGAAATGTAGTTGATATAAACATAGTAACCGTTTGAAGACTGATAAAGAATGTATTTTTGCAGAAGGCTGTACTCCAGGCTGGTCTGACTGGTACGATGAGCAATATCCGGATGAAGAAAATGGCGGAGATGAGGAATCTTATCAGAAGGTCATAGCCTCAGGGAAAGTGGTCTGTCTGCCTGACTCATCAGTGGAAAAAATAGATTGCAAAGCAGAGAGATTCCCTAATACCCCATGGCAGGAATTGGGCCAGACGATCACATGTGACAAGAGCACAGGCCTGAAATTTTCTAATGATGATCAAAGCATGTTTATATGTTACAACTACAAGGTCAGATTCTGCTGCTCCAAATCAGGTGGCCCCCCTCCACCACCCATTACTCAGGCCCCAACCAAAGGGGCCCTTGAGAAACCACCAACAGCAGCTGCTCCGGAAACAACGAAAAGGAAACCAAAGTCCCCACCAGTGCCTAAAGAGACCATCACTATCGGTGAAGGTAACTATGACAATGGGAACATCAACAACATCAATTATCTTTTAGTTAAATTAATCACGTTAGTAACATTACCGGCCTTCACCTTGTAAACATTTCACCAATCAGAAGTATTGCACCTTTATTGAGATCAAAGACAGCTTTGACTTAACATTGAAACCGATATTTTGGGAAATAAGCATAATGCTTGGGCAGTTTTTTCTAATATTTGACTTATGAATATATTCGAAACACGTGAGATCAAAAACATTTTAAATTAGATTAAACACGTTTTGTGACGGCACATGATAGGTTATAATCCACGTTAAAATAATAGATGTTTGAAAAGTAAACGAATTCAAGTAAAATACATTGCCCATGCAACCTATATAGATAAACATCATGCTACAGGTATACACGTATTTAATACACACACTACACCTGGCTAATTTCCCAATTGCTGATGTTAACAGTGCTCCAGATACTAATTTTCTGAAGTTATTATTCCCCCATTCCATGCGTCTCTATGAGTCAATGTTTAGAACGTTTTTAACAAAATCGAATGTTGTAAAAAGGCAGCCATTTGGTCAAATGATGCAGCATCCATTTCAATTTGTAAACCCAACATTTGGATGGGTCCACTTCAATGCAATCAATAGAAACTCATAACTGCTTACCTGTCCTAACAAACATTATTTTGGGAGATGTAATATTCAGTGATGATGATGATGTGTATTATTTTACGCGATACACACCATAATTCACTTATATTTTTTGCAGAATTGATTGTTCCTGCAACACAGCAACCAATTGAGGCTACAAAACCAAATGAAACACCCACCAAACAAGGTAAGGATTGGAGTGTGGTAAGATAGTCTTGAGGCCTGTTTTAATGCATACATATGGTTTAAATATTTTCCATAATCTGTTTGAATTTCATCACTGATTAATGTTCTATGTTTACAGAAGATTGTGCTTTAGGCTGGTCTGACTGGTACGATGATCAATATCCTGATGAAGAAAATGGCGGAGATGAGGAATCCTACCAAAAGATTATAGACTCGGGGAGAGAGGTCTGTCTGCCTGACTCATCAGTGGAAAAATTTTACTGCAAAGCAGAAAGATTCCCGAATACCCCATGGGAGGAATTAGGCCAGACGATCACTTGTGACCAGAGCACAGGCCTGAAATTTTCTAATGATGATCAAAGCATGTTTATATGTTACAACTACAAGGTCAGATTCTGCTGCTCCAAATCAGGTGGCCCCCCTCCACCAACTCCATCTAAAGCAAGCCCAGGTACCATTCTGGAATTAGTTGCAAAATCACATCGACAATATATTAAATGCCATCATTTTTTGTTAGATCAGGTAAATGTGTATTTAAATGCACCACCACCTGGCACAGCCAATCATTGAGGTTTGCACTCTTCCTACAGAACCAACTGCATCGAAGGACAAGACACCCGCACCTCCAACCTCTGGCATCAAGGAGCCAGGACCCTCAAACCCAGAAGGGCCAGGTGTGTACATGTTCTAAGAATATATATACACAAGATGTAAATTGCTCAGAATCAATTCACGCAAAATGCGACTACATTTTTAGATCTCAGAGACAAAGTATGATTGTAACTGAATGGTATGAATGGGTGACCACTTCCGCTAACATGATTCATAAACTGAAAGTTTTAGGCTGCAGAGGTCTGAATGCTAAACTCATTTATTGTGCTGTACATCCATGCTCCCACGTCTTTTAAATGTACATTCTTTCAAGATCTATCCCTTTCTCTTCTTTCAAAGTAACACCGAAACCCCCGGTTGAGGAAAAGCCAACAAAGGCAGCATCAGAAGAAAGTGGCCCTCCTCCTGCAAAACCAACTCCATCGAAGGAGAAGTCACCCCCACCTCCAACCTCTAGCAACAAGGAGCCAGAACCATCGCCCGCAGAAGGTCCAGGTGTGTTCATTTTGTAAGAATATATATACAGGATGTATACTGCTTAGGATCAAATCACACAGATTGTGACTGAATTCGGTAGATGCTAGAAACAAAACATGGTGACGCATGAATGATTTTAGATGGGCGACTACCTGCAAGATTATTTATCTGCATAATTGATGTCATAAGGCTGAATATTTACAATGTGGACTACAGAGGGCAGAATGCCAGAACCCTTTATTGTGCTGTACTTCCATGCTTCCCTGTCTATAATTCCCACACTCGCACTAAAGAGAATGATGAAGCACGGTCAAATAACCTCACAAAACCAGACAGCGTGGGGAGGCTTTAATTGAACAGTGGATTGGCAAACCTGTACATTATTTTGGAACACTTTCCAGTAACTCATTTGAAATGCAGATTAAAAGTATCGTCTGAAGGTTGTTTACAACTATTTGCAAGGGGTAATTGGGAATGCATGCACAATCTTCATTCTATCAACATCCATCCCTTGCTTTTCTTTCAAAGTGACACCGAAACCCCCAGTTGAAGAAAAGCCAACAAAGCCAGCTCCTGATAAGAGTGGCCCTCCTCCTCTAGAACCAACTGCATCGAAGGAGAAGCCACCCCCACCTCCAACCTCCAGCAACAAGGAGCCAGAACCAAGGTCCTATATTAGGCAGGGTCCTATATTATCATCACATTCATATTATTACGATTATGCTCGTTTACCCACTGCTTTGTAACCTGCCCGACAGACTTAACTCATTGACACTGCTGGGTA